GTGTGTGTGTGTGTGTGTGTGTGTGTGTGTGTGTGTGTGTGTGTGTGCTGAAATGTGCTGAAATCACATATCTGATGTGTTATATATATATATATATATATATATATATATATTTTTTTTTTTTAATAATCCTATTATCTGTTCTACTGTTATAAAATATATATAAACATTTTTTTTCAGCCATATGTTCAAAAGGCTCTCATTTGTTTTTCTAAAGTGGATTTTTTGGGGGGATTTAAACGCCTGACTCTACACTTCAGCACCCTGGACAGCAAAGTGTTTTATTTTCTTTATTTGTATGTATTTATTTAGTTGGTTATTTTAGATGAATGATAGAGTCAATGTTCTTTTTTTTTTCCTTTTGTGTATCTATATTTGTAGATGTTTAAAAAAAAAACTTTAAAAACTACATATAAACCAGAAGTGAGCATATATTCATAATTGGCGTGTTTGTATTTTTTTCCTAACAAATAAGTAATTTTAATTTAGGTTTTTAAAGCTGCAACTTAAAAACATCCCATTGATTATGTAAGACATGTAATCATACTGCAGGTGTAACAATGGTCAGTGATATATTTAGAGTTTAAAACACTGGTTTTAGTGGATTACATAAATATGTGCAGATTGTCTGCAGTGCTCTTGGTTGGACTCTCAGGGACGCTGTTGACCAGCGTGCTGATGGGTGAGTGCTGGATTTAATAGCAGCACCTCCTCTGTAACACCACATAAAGAAGACGGAGCAAATAAAGGAAAGAGCTCAGACTCAGCCTGCAGAAAACAGACGAAGATACGTGATTTTATTTTGCAGTTCCAAGGGAAAAAAAAAAGAGTTGTGAGTGAGATTACTGAACGTTGATGCATTTTATGACTCGGGATGAAAAAATAGATTGTGGATCTTCACAAAAAAAGCTTTGAACAGAACAATGGACAGACGGATGCTGCTGTGTGTTGCCCTCCTTTTCTTTGACTCGGCAAACGGACAAGTCAGCTACACCATGCCAGAAGAAATGGACAAAGGATCTTTAGTTGGGGATATAGCTCATGATTTAGGTTTGGATACTAAACGTTTTATCTCAGGTAAGGCTCGGATTTATACCCGGAACAGTGAGGAGTACATGGAGCTGAGCAGAGACAGAGGAGTCCTCCTCGTTAAAGAACGGATTGACAGAGAGGCGCTCTGCAAACAGACGACGCCCTGTGCTTTACACTTCCAGATCATTTTAGAGAACCCAATGGAGTTTTACAGCATCACAGTCCAGATCACAGATATTAATGATAATCCTCCTACATTCGAGAGAGAAAAAACTGAATTTAAAATCAGCGAGTCAGCAGTGATCGGATCCAAATTTGTGCTGGAAAAAGCCGCAGATCTAGATGTTGGAATAAACGATCTTCAGAAGTATGAACTGAAACCAACAGATAATTTTGCTTTGAAGCTGCAGAATAATGCTGATGGGCTTAAACATGTAGAGATGGTGTTACAGAAGGCTTTAGACAGAGAGAAGCAGGAGCAGATCAACCTGGTGTTAACAGCTGTAGATGGAGGAGAGCCGCAGATGTCAGGAACAATGCAGATTGTTATTACAGTCTTAGATGCAAATGATAATGCTCCTGTTTTTACACAGAAACAATACAAAGCTACAGTTGCTGAAAATTCACCTAAAGGAACCGTTGTTGCTACAGTTACAGCTTCAGATGCAGATGAAGGTGTTAACAGTAAAATTACTTATTCAATAACAAACACTCTTGATGATGTAAGAAAACTATTTATGATAAATAACAGAAATGGTGAAATTACATTAATTGGAAATATTGACTTTGAAGAATCACGGAATTTTCAAATAGATATACGTGCAAGTGATGACGGAGGTCTCACAGACTCTTGCAAATTAATTATTGATGTGCAAGACGTGAATGATAACAAGCCTGAAATAAACATTATGTCAAAGTCGAATGTGATATCAGAGAATGCAGAGCCTAACACAGTTGTCACAATGATTCATATAGAAGACAAAGATATTGAAGAGAATGGAAAAGTGCAATGTTTTATAAACGAAAAAGTTGAATTCACATTAAAATCATCTACAAATAATTTCTACAGTTTAGTGACAGACAGTGAGTTAG